TGAGGAGCCCGAGTAATACTTGGCAGCACCGGAGTGGCGCTTGCACTGACCGGGACCTGGCCCCCCCTCCCCCGCAGGGATCCCCTCCCTACGGCCACTCGAACGTTATGGGAGTGAAATCACCCCCCAGCCAGGAAAGAGGGGAAGTTCCCACCTCCTTTGCTGGGGGACGCGAACAGCCACAGCTGGGGGTAATTTAGGCCAGAGAGGATCTGGGACTCCCGGCTCCGGACCCGATCAGCACCAGGGTTAGGGCAGCTGGATGGGAGGGTCCTGGTACCTGAGGCTGCAAACAGCGTCCATGGAGCTGGAGATGACGGAGGTTGGCTCTGGCAGCAGGGGCAGATTTTCAATCAGCTCCTGAGAGACCCCAAGAAGATAAAATCGCATGTGAGACTCAGGCCCCGCAGACCCACAAGCGCTTCCCAGGGAGGAGACCAAAGTGCTCTGCAGAAACAGCCAGTGTCATCCCTCCACCCCCAACCAGCTGGGCCCCTCATTCCGCCCATCCGTCAAACTTCCTTCCCCCTCTCCCACCCAATTCCTCCCTCCCCTCCCCTCCGGCCTTACAATTCCCCCACTGCCAGCTCCCGATCGGTGTCAGAATTTCCCCCTTCCCTGCTCCCCAGCCCTCAGCCCCAGGAACCACTGTCGGCTGCTCACCACTCCAGCCCCACTAAGTCTTCCTCCCATATCTGGGTCCCTCGCCCCAGGGGCCAGGCACGGGGTCCCACTCACCGCAATGCTCTCCACGAGGGCCGCCTTTGAGAAGTGCGGCTCCAGGGTGTCCCGCCGCTGCTGCTGTGCGAAGAAGCACAGACGTGGGATAGCACGGAGGAAGCAGAGCTGTTTGGCCCTGTCCTGCAGCAACTAGGAGTGGGGTGGGGGAGAGAGAGAAATAGAGAGACGGTTAGGTAGGGACCTCCCCACACCACCTAGAGCAGCTCCAGGGCTCAGGAACCCCATGGGGTTGGACAGGGAAAGCCGCCCCGCTTCCCGAACCCAGTGTCGCCCTGCGCAGACTGGGGTTGTAACTGGGACAGTGTCTGTGGGGAGCGGACACCTTGGTCTGCGTGAGACAAATACCCCCACTTTGGGGTGCCAGGTAACAGGGGAGAAGTGCCCCCCACTGGGGGTGAGGGATTCTCTGGGACAAGACCCCCCTGCGTGGGTGGGGATGGAACAAGGGGCAGGACAGACTCCGGGGCAGCGCAGCTGGGGGATTTTTGTACCTCAGCTCTGCTCTGGAGGTGCCCCTGGATGTCCCTCATGATCTCTTGTTCAGGGGACAAGTCCTCTTCCTCCGACTCCTCCTCCAGCTGGGCACTGGGGGTCTCTGCACCAGGGAGAGAAGGAGAAAGGATCATTTATGCTGCTGTAGTCGGAATGCAGTGCAGAGAAATGGCTCAATGTCCCCCATCCTCAACAAGGAACCCCATGGCATAGAGGGCCCCCCCCTGCCCCTCCCAGAGACGCCCTCAGCCCCATCAGCCTCAGGGCCCCGTGGCCGTCAGGCCCCCCCCCAACATCACCAGGGGAGGCTGGAGCTCCCCCGACTGTGCCCAGCATCCCCTGCCGCAGGGTGGGTGGCTGTGCCACTCCCACTGATGTCAGTGGGGCTCCCATGGCTCAGTCCTGGTGCCTTGGTGAGCCAATGGGCACAGGGTGTTACTAGTCCCCCACCGCCCCGTCCTTCCCCCTGTCCCCTGGGTCTCCCCTCACCTGCAAAGAGGGACCCTTCGCCCTCAGGGCTGTCAGACCCCACGGAGGGGCTGCTGGCCCCTCAGGAGTAGGTGGAGCTCCTGGCCCCCGTGCCAGAGTGGCCCAGCTCCTGCTCTAGGCCGGCTGGGGGCTCCTCCATGGCCAGGGTGGTGGATGGCTCCTGCCGGGCACAGGGGCTGGGCTCCTGGCTCCTCTGCTTCCTGCAAAGGAAGCCACAGAGCCACCTTGCCCGGCTCCCGCCCTCTCCGGGGTCCCTCCAACATAGCATCCCCCTGGGCCACCTCCGTTTGGGACCAGAAGGTGCCTCAGGGTCTGCTAAGGAAGCTGATGTTTTCCTCCAGAAGGTCAGGGAGCTCCTCTGGTTTGCCAGTCCACAAGCCTCTTCCCTGCCCGTGGAGACAGAGGGGCCGCTCTCCTCCCGGGCAAGCCGAAAGCTGCTCCCTGCTGGCTCCGGAGCCACCTCCCCAGCCTTCCGCCTCAGCATCTGCTTCAGCCGCTTCATTCTGGAACCGAGTGGGGAGCAGCCGTGAGTCTGGGCTCAAGGCAGCCTCTCATTAACGGGCCTGCCTGCTCCCCTGCCCACCTCCCCTCTGCTGAGGCAACTCCCCCACACCGCACACCCCACCCCAGGGCATGGGGCTGCCGTCCACACACAGTGGCAGCAACTCACAGCACAGGCATCTCCCAATGTTCCCCCTCACCAATGGGGCCCTGTGATACTGGGAGAGTCTTGTCCTTTCAGAGCAATGGGGCTCTCTGTTAGTTTGGACAAGCAGCTCCCTCCACCCCAGTAGGCCCCGCTCCCTCCCAGGCTAGAGAAAGAGCAGAACCCGGAGAGTCCCCAACGAAAGTTCGTTCACAAGGTACCAATCCTAGGAGGCAGGAGTCGCCCTCAGTTCCCACTGATTTCACTGATTGCGGTTGTGGGTGTTCAGCACCTGGCAGGTTCTGCCCTTCCCAAAGACTCTCAATGTGGGGAACAATCTCCTGCAAGGGAAGGGCTGGGAGCCCTATTGCTGGGCCATTCCCACCACACCACACTGGGGATGGCTCTGGAGAACTCCACTCACTTGTTCTCGATGGGAAAGAGTTGGATGGCAGATGCTCTCTTCCTCGATCTTCTGCACCCAGGTGGGCGGAAAGGGTGCTGCCCAATGCCCTGCCAGCAGGTAGGGGGTAGAAGCCAGGAGATCGAAAGTGGCTGTGAAAACAAGATGATGGTTTATTGCCAGGCGATGGATAAATTCAGCCTAGCAACTGGGGGTTCACAACACTGACCTACAGCCAGCAGAACACCTCCCATCTCCAGGTCTCCTAGTACCTCACGCACATTCCTGAAGCGTGAAGGCCCAAGGGCTCTAGGGCAGTGTCCCCAACCCCACTGATGGAAACAGAGGCCTTGGCAGGAGAAGCCACTGCCTCAGGGTCACTGAGGGAGTCAGGGATAGAGTCGGGGACGGAGCCTTTGTCCAGGCTCCCGGACTAGCCACTAGAGGAACACTCCCTTCCAGAGCTGGGAAGTGCCAGCGGGACTCTATTCCCAGTCTCCCTGGCTCTGAGTGTGACTGAGGCAGGGGGTTGGGAGCCTGGACTCCTGGCTTTCATTGGCGGTTTTGCTCTATTCCCAGTCTCCTTGGCTCTGAGTGTGACCTATGGAGGTGGTGGAATCTT